AACAAAAATTAAAATATAAAAAAAAAAATAGCATAACAAACTTATTTTATCTAAACAAGAAAAGTGTATGATTATAAACTAGTGTGTATGAAGTGTGCAGATTAGGGCTGGGACAACGCGTCGACGTAATCGGTGACGTCGACGCAAAAAATACACCGACGTATAATATGCGCGTCGGTGCGTCACACACAAAACAAAGATGGCGGCGAGCGGTAGCAATGCGAGTGCCGTAGAGAAGTGCAAGCCGGTGTAACGCTGAGATACACTGCCTTGAAGAGATGCACTGCCTCAGCTGTTTATGATGTAATGCAAACCTGCGCATGCGCGTCTCACGGCAGCCGAAGCAAACCAAGATGGCGGACCGTGAATTTCTTTAAAAGTTGAAATACGAACGAATCAAGACACGAATGTCACTTTTAATGCAATTTGAGGCGAGATGTTGATGATTCCGTTTTGTCACATATGGGTTTTAAGAGTCAAAGTTTCGTGCAAAGTTTAGTTTAAGCAGTCAACTGCGCCTGTGAAACCACAAAGCTAATGTTTTCATAGCAGTCCGCGGCTGCTGACGTAGGCTGATGACGTAGGCTGCTGACGTAGGCTGATGACGTAGGCTGCTGACGTAGGCTGATGACGTAGGCTGCTGACGTAGGCTGATGACGTAGGCTGATGACGTAGGCTGCTGACGTAGGCTGCTGACGTAGGCTGCTGACGTAGGCTGCTGACGTAGGCTGATGACGTAGGCTGATGACGTAGGCTGATGACGTAGGCTGCTGACGTAGGCTGATGACGTAGGCTGATGACGCGTCCTGTGGCAACTCGACACTCTTACAACTGGTCTGTCTTTCTTTGTATCAAACGGAATATTGGCGCCCGTAATAGCCCCTACATGTATTATTCACTGTCATGCCCGCCGTATATGGACATTTTTCAACATGTGTTCAATATCCTTAATGTGTTTAACTGTTGATTGATTCTCTGATCTGTGTTGGTGACTTCAATGTTGTTTTAAGTCCTCTAAGATGACTTCTACTGTATTCTTTCAGTAACTCTAAAAGAAAGGATGACTGGTTGACCTTTTTATTTGCTACACAATGCATTGTTTTTCTCTTGTACACTCTTACTTGAATTTTATTTTTGAATTTTGAGTTTAAGAAAAAGGTGAGTGGCAGAGTTTTGACTGTTATTTTTATATGAATGAAGAATTTAAGAGATGCACTTTAATTAATGGACTTCAGTAATATAGGCCTATGTGTCTTCAACTTAAATGTTAAACTCTGTTGGTTCAGGAAGGACGCCATGACAGGCTGATGGCTCCCACTGTTTTTGCTGGAAAAGCACTCTTTGTTTAGCTTAAAGCCTTCAAGTTTACATTGGTTACTGTTTTCTTTTAGTTGCTCTACACAAGTATTTGGCTGAACATTTTCATATTTTTATTGAATGCTAAGCATCAAATGTTTGTTTCAAGAATGATAAGATGCACTTTTTTCAGTAAGCTGTGTTTTCAAGGCTTTAAGGTTTTATGCTACCTCTAAGAATGTCTTATTTTTGAATTTTAAGAGCAAGCAATAAATATTTTTTGTGAAGGAATTCATGTTTTCATTAAAATATTTAAATCAACATGTATACATCAATATTAGTCAATTAATGGGGAGATAATCAAGAATCGAATCGAATCGAAATCGAATCGAAGCGAAAAAAATAATCGTTAGATTAATCGATGCATCGAAAAAATAATCGCTAGATTAATCGTTTAAAAAATAATCGTTTATCCCAGCCCTAGTGCAGATCGAGCAGTGAACCATTATCATCAAACATCAACATTGCAGGTGTGGAGCAGCTGTGTTGACTCCGGAGCCAGAGGCAGAGGTGTGTGTCTGTCATTCTGTCTGTCATTCTGTCTGTCGTTCTGTCTGTCGTTCTGTCTGTCGTTCTGTCTGTCGTTCTGTCTGTCGTTCTGTCTGTCGTTCTGTCTGTCGTTCTGTCTGTCGTTCTGTCTGTCGTTCTGTCTGTCGTTCTGTCTGTCGTTCTGTCTGTCGTTCAGTCTGTCGTTCAGTCTGTCTGTCTGTCGTTCAGTCTGTCGTTCTGTCTGTCGTTCAGTCTGTCGTTCAGTCTGTCGTTCAGTCTGTCGTTCAGTCTGTCGTTCAGTCTGTCGTTCTGTCTGTCGTTCAGTCTGTCGTTCAGTCTGTCGTTCTGTCTGTCGTTCTGTCTGTCGTTCTGTCTGTCGTTCTGTCTGTCGTTCTGTCTGTCGTTCAGTCTGTCGTTCAGTCTGTCGTTCAGTCTGTCGTTCTGTCTGTCGTTCTGTCTGTCGTTCTGTCTGTCGTTCTGTCTGTCGTTCTGTCTGTCGTTCTGTCTGTCGTTCAGTCTGTCGTTCTGTCTGTCGTTCTGTCTGTCGTTCAGTCTGTCGTTCTGTCTGTCGTTCTGTCTGTCGTTCAGTCTGTCGTTCAGTCTGTCGTTCAGTCTGTCGTTCAGTCTGTCGTTCAGTCTGTCGTTCAGTCTGTCGTTCTGTCTGTCGTTCAGTCTGTCGTTCTGTCTGTCGTTCTGTCTGTCGTTCTGTCTGTCGTTCTGTCTGTCGTTCTGTCTGTCGTTCAGTCTGTCGTTCTGTCTGTCGTTCTGTCTGTCGTTCTGTCTGTCGTTCTGTCTGTCGTTCTGTCTGTCGTTCTGTCTGTCGTTCTGTCTGTCGTTCTGTCTGTCGTCCTGTCTTGTCTGTCGTTCTGTCTGTCGTTCTGTCTGTCGTTCTGTCTTGTCTGTCGTTCTGTCTGTCGTTCAGTCTGTCGTTCAGTCTGTCGTTCTGTCTGTCGTCCTGTCTTGTCTGTCGTTCTGTCTGTCGTTCTGTCTGTCGTCCTGTCTTGTCTGTCGTTCTGTCTGTCGTTCTGTCTGTCGTTCTGTCTTGTCTGTCGTTCTGTCTGTCGTTCTGTCTGTCGTTCTGTCTGTCGTTCTGTCTTGTCTGTCGTTCTGTCTGTCGTTCTGTCTGTCGTTCTGTCTTGTCTGTCGTTCTGTCTTGTCTGTCGTTCTGTCTGTCGTTCTGTCGTTTGTTCTGTCTGTTGCTCTGTCTGTCGTTCTGTCTGTGCTGTAAGGAAAAAGGCGGTGGAAGTATTTGGACTAACATCTCAGTAAACCCCCTAAGAACAAGTGATTACAACATGGAGGTCATCAGGATCACTGTTTGGATACAGACTGTTTTTCTAAGAGAGATTTTCTGCTATTTCAGTGCAATACTTAAAACAGAGGTGACGACGTTGGTCTCTGCCTCTTATGGACCAATGTGTTTATCATAGTATTTCCCGATTGTTTGATTCTGTGTGATTCTCTGATCTGTGTTTGTGAATCGACAGCTTTGTAAAGTCCCCAGAGATAACGACTGATGTGATTTAGGGCGATGCAAAAGTAGGTTGACTTGAATATAAAGGGCCTTGAGCTTCTCACTGATGCCTCAAACCCTGCTGTAGGTCGTTTGACTCGCTAAAGAATCCTGAAGTAGTTTCACGAACGAGGAGAACTGTAGAGAGGTGTGTCGCAGAAAAGTGTGCATTTAAAAGGTAAGATTTTCTTTCAGCGGTAAAGAGCTGTATGACTAAAAGGCAGATCGACAAAAACTTAAAGTAGTACTAGAATTGAATATGCTGCTATCCAGAGTATATAACTACAATATGTGTTTATAATATTTCGGGTGTTCATTTTGACATGTTCAGATGAATTATGTTAAAAAACGGCTTTGAAGTGGCACCTTTTCACTTCCGCATAGAAACGCTAGGGGGCGCCAAAATGGCGGCGAAGACGTAGGAGAAGGACCTCTCACAGCAGCAGCAGCAGTCTGGGCTGAATCTGTAGGAGGTTTCACTGTCATCTGAACAAGGTATAAACATATTTACATCAGTTTTGTACATAATAGTGTGCAACTCTTTTAACCTTTTAGCCTTATTTGTGAGATTCAAGCTAATTAGTGTTGGGCAAGTTAGCTAACTCTACTTGATATCATAAAACATGCTAACAAGGCTAATATTGGTTTTTACATTATGCCAGTCTCACTTTGCCTTAGATTTATTTACCACAATGTACATTGTAATATCCATGATAAATGCTAATCAAAATAACTTGAATTAAATAAATATTTTACTTTTATGAACAAAAAGCTGCAGAAGTTGAAAACATAGACGACATGTGATGCAATCATTGATAAAAATGCTAATTAAACCATTAATAGGTGTTAGCATTTATGGATATTACAATGTACATTATGGTAAATAAATCTAAGGCAAAGTGAGACTGGCATAATGTAAACACGAATATTAGCCTTGTTAGCATGTTTTATGATATCAAGTAGAGTTAGCTAACTTGCCCAACACTAATTAGCTTGAATCTCACAAATAAGGCTAAAAGGTTAAAAGAGTTGCACACTATTATGTACAAACTGATGAAAATATGTTTATACCTTGTTCAGATGACAGTGAAACCTCCTACAGATTCAGCCCAGACTGCTGCTGCTGCTGTGAGAGGTCCTTCTCCTACGTCATCGCCGACATTTTGGCGCCCCCTAGCGTTTCTATGCGGAAGTGAAAAGGTGCCACTTCAAAGCAGTTTTTTTAACATAATTCATCTGAACATGTCAAAATGAACACCCGAAATATTATAAACACATATTTTAGTTATATATTCTGGATAGCAGCATATTACATTCTAGTACTGCTTTAAGATTGGCTTAAGCTGGAGAGCAGAACACTTTTTCACATCCCATTGAGACAGAATTTCTAAATCTGACTTCCTCCACAAAACTAAACTAACAAAAAGGGTTCATTGTGATTGCACCGTTCATTTCTGAATTGGTTTAGAAAAAAGGAAAGAGGTTAGAAACTTTTGCAAACCCCAATGTTGTCGTTTTGAACAGTAAGTTATCACCGCCTTCTGTACTTTACGAGTGCTTTTCTAGTTTTTTCTCTGGATTTATACTTTTCATTCATGGCTGATAAACTTCGGAAAATGATCCTGCAAACATGAATTCTCACCCTGATGGGACGGTGTAAATTGGGTCTTGTCTTTCGAAGGTAGAGGAGGCCAGCGATGGTTACTCCGTACGACAGGTAGTTGATGAAGGACACATAGTTGATGAGGTTGTGAGTTTCCCCGATACACAGGATCAAGATGGTGGCGGCACACTGCAGAGGAGGAGATGTGTCAGAGAGAGACGACATGTGGAGACCGGAGGAGGTGCAGGGTGACACTCACACACACTAACAGAGCCGGTATCGGGGTGCAGTTCTTCAGATGGATCATGGCCAGAAGATACGGCAAATGTCCTTCTCTTGCACCAGAGAAGCACAACCTGCAAGAATACCAGCACGTTAACGCACTGTTGAGTATCTGGTGGACATAACACCATGTCTAAGGTACTGTTAAAAGCAACAACTGCCTCCCTCATACTGCTGTCCACTAACTATACATTTAACCCACACTTAACCCACTTTGCCTGTAAGGAGCGCGGAAGTGATGTTCGCTGCTTGCCTTGATATGTACTGTATATGTGTATGTGTAAATGTATATGTAAATGTATGTGTAAATGTATGTGTACTGTATGTGTATGTTTAAGTGTATGTGTATATGGGCTTGTTCACACTAAAGGGCACAAAAGTATGACAAAAGGCCAAAAATTAGATTTTAATCATCTAAATTATTGACGCATAAATACGTCAAAGCAAATAGTAACGTTGTGTGCGTATTAATACGTCAAATGCCTTTTTCGCTATTTTCACGTTCCCAGATGTCTATTGTATCTAATATGTATGGGGATGACTTGAGACCATATTTATCGAGCCAGCAGGTGGCAGCATTTCTCTCTGAATGGTTTGAAAACATGTAGGTGCACATGTTGTGCCTCTTTTTTCTCAACTTTCTGGTGATTTCTGGTGATTTCAGTAAAACTTCCCTCTACTCGACGGAGGATTACAGGGGAACGAAAAAAGTTATAAACAAAATTCTTTTTGCTGAGGAAAGTAGACAGTCCATTCTTTTAGAATCTGGTGTCGGATTTCAGATAGTCATAGTACACAATATTCTGTGGGTCTTGAAAAATCAGTAAAAATCATCAGAAATGGCTGGCACTGTGGGAGTACCTGTTCTGAAATAGGCTGGCATTCAATGAGTTAATGTTTTTCATGTTTCCAAGCACCTCCTCTGTCCTTTAGAAGTCTCTAGAACAAAACTGTTTTATACATTAGACAAGTTTCCTACAGCGGCCCTGTTTATTTTATGTAACGGACGATGATTTGACGGAATGAGCTGTGGAAGTTTGATGGTATTTTCAGATGTCCACATTTGATTCAGAGATTCAATTTTTTTACACAAAGTAGATGCAAAGCGATACTTTCATATTGTCAACCAATTAAATGTGAAAACAGACCAGATTTTTGTTTTCCTCAAGTTTAATTTTTAGAGAAAAGAGGACCGTCCTCATCACGTCCGTTATACATTTTTCAGGGGTCATTTAATTAATTAATTAATTTTATTTTTTTACCATTCCTTTTTACATCAAGTGATTTCCTTCTGTTGTGTTAACCATGTAAATCTGTGGGATTTCATCTTCTGCTTTTTCAGACTGAGGACATTATTTTATATTATTATTATTAGGATATTATTTTCTATGTAACTGGCGTCACAGTAGAATGGTCCAATCAGAGGCTCATTTGGTCGTTTAAAATGTTGCTAAAAAAATGTATGTCAATCTTTCCTTTGATTATATCCACACTATCTCTTCAATGTGTCTGTGTTTGAAATCTTTTTTCCAATCTATGAAAGTAATTTTAGTTTTTAAGTTATAACCTTTTAAAGTCCAGATACTTCAATTGTCACTTTACTGTGAACACACTCATATATGTGTGTGCGTGTGTGTATGTATCAAACTGAAATTTCCCCATTGTGGCACAAATAAAAGCCCTTCTTCTTCTTCTTCTTCACTGGAATCATCAAACTTTCCACCAAATAAACTCTGGATCAATGAAGTCATAATTGAGGCCGGCATCTACTTTTCAGTTTTCAAATCCAGGTTAAAAACAGTTCAGTTTAGCCGTGCTTACAACTGAAGGATTTTATATTTACTCTTTTAAATGCACTGTGGCTTTTTATTATTTAATCCCCTGTGTGATTTTAATGTTTTAAGGTTTTCAATAACTTGTGATTTATTTTGTTTTAATGATTTTCCTGACATGATGTGGGTTGTGAGGCGCTTCGTGTCGTCTTGTGTAGGAAAGGCTTATACAGATTAAAGTTGATGGATTGATCAAATTTGACGGAAAATGGCCAGAGTTTATTTAGTCACTACATCGATTCCGTGCAATCCTTGTGCAAGCCTTTTTACTTATATATGATTAAAAAATAACTAAAACCTTGCATTTGATTAACTTTAAAGTACAGGGAGTATTTCTAACCTGGAGGAGGTGAAGAGGTATCCGTTGATTCCACCAAATGTGGACAAAGCGACGGAAATGGGCATAACCCACGAAAACATGCCCAGCAGCTTTTCTCCAAACGTCTGAAAGAACAAAATAATTCACAAACAGAAGCCATCGATGTTGTCGTATCAGCAAGATTGATGAGATTGTTTTAATAAAGAAACAATATCAATATGTATTTTTAAAGACCTTTGATAACAAGAACATAACACAAGGAGAATTTGTGCAAAACAGAAAAACTTCCGAAAAGTATTTCTGCAGTAATTCTTTTTTTTTTTCTGTAAAAATGTGGCCAAAAAGTGGTACTGCAGCCTCTCCCACTCTCCCTGACTCAGGTTGCCAGATATGCAGACGAATCCAGCTGGGACCATAACAGCTGAATAGACAAGAGTTTTGTCAACAACAAATCTATAACCAACACCTTTTTCACAAAGATAGAAATCCTGGTTTTATTCCTTGTTTTGTCGTTAATTATTTGAGAATCATAACGAGAGCTTTTTTAGTTCTGCGCCACATGGTACTTTACCAGTGAGATTAGCTCCACACGGTGAGTTCTGGCGCCCGGATCACAGACTTTCTGATTGGTTAAAACGGTGGAGGGCGGGACATCGAAATGAAAACAATAACAAGATTTAGGGGCTGGAAAAGTAATTTAGAAATCCAAATATCTCTGAACGACTGTTATCAGTTGAAGAAGTATTGGAAAAGAACATGTTTTATTAATGCCTTTGGACAGATTAGGGCCCTTTAATGATGACAGATTAGGGCCCTTTAATGATGACAGATTAGGGCCCTTTAATGATGACAGATTAGGGCCCTTTAATGATGACAGATTAGGGCCCTTTAATGATGACAGATCAGGGCCCTTTAATGATGACAGATTAGGGCCCTTTAATGATGACAGATTAGGGCCCTTTAATGATGACAGATCAGGGCCCTTTAATGATGACAGATTAGGGCCCTTTAATGATGACAGATTAGGGCCCTTTAATGATGAAAGATTAGGGCCCTTTAATGATGACTTGACATGAACATCTCACATATGATTTCACTCCTAACTCCACACACTGAAATACACATTGACTTTAGGGTTTTTCTACATTTAGGTTGATATAAATGACCTTTTCCTCTGAGTTTGTGCCTATGGTGAGTGCCTCTGTCATGGAGCAGCTTTAGTTCGTTGAATGGAGAGAGTTTACAGATTCCCTGAACATAATCTGAGCAGTTTGGAACTTAATCAGGGGCAGGTGGAGTTCTCGGTTTGCAATGAGCAGAGGATCAGAATCGTGTCTGTCGTGGACCTCAAGAAGACAAGAACCCACCACAGCCACAGCGTTGGAGGCCAGCAGCTCCTCGGGCGACATGGACGAGAAATATGCAATGTTTGTCATGGTGTAAACCAGAGTCACCAGTGGGATGGAGATGTAGATGGCTCGCGGCAAGTTTCTGAAAACAGGTTTGAAGTTAAGATACATCACATTCATAAAAGGTATACAAGAGGATTTTCCCACTTTTTTAGGAAACAATGTGTCATGGTGTGGACTTCCTGTTAAAATACCTTGTTTTATTTTGATATATTTGTGTTCTCTTGTTGTGAGTTTTACTTCCTGTCTGTCTTGTTGATGGTTTGCCCTGATGTGTTACAGCTGTGTCTACACCTGTGTGTATTTTGTTGTCGGCTCATTGTTGTTTTTTGCCATGTCTTGTTACTGAATTTTGCTTTTGGATTTATTTTCTTGTGACATTCATTAAATTATATCATTTTGGGTCTTTAGGAGGACCTTAGGCTTGATGATCCACACAGAAGTCAGAAAATCCTCTTATACACCTTTAATAATAATAATAATAATACATTTTATTTATATTAAGTAAGTCAGTATATATTGCACCTAGCCTGGCCTTAACATACCATCGTACAAATTTAATTTTGTACTAAAGTCTGGATTTGCTCCAATGAGCTCTGTTAACAGGTGGGAGGAGTTAACTCAGATTAAAACAATTGGATCTGAGTTTACCGTGACGTATGTAATGTGGCCGGGTTAGTCAGTAGCTTTAGCATGTAGCCTAGCTTTAGCATTTAGCCTAGCTTTAGCCATCTCCTTTGCCACAAATGGAGCCCGTGGGGAGTAGAGCCACAACATTTTTGCCTCAATGACATTTACTAAACAGTCCTCTTGCTCCGGCTTCAGTTTCTTGATATTTGGATTGAACCAGAACAGATTATTTTACTATCGCATTCTCCGACAAACTACAACCAGCAAATTCAGCACAAACTCTTGACGTCACCGACCTACAACACCCGCCTCCCCCGCTCTCTGATTGGTCGGAGGAGATTCAACAGAGGAAACTGCAGCCAATAGGATCAGACCCAGACGTACATGTAGGAAATTACCATGGACCAGAGTTTACACATGGTAAGACCAGACGTACATGTAGGAAATGACCATGGACCAGAGTTTACACATGGTAAGACCCAGACATGTTACACACTTGCGCGGCTCCACCACCTCCTCTGTGACGTAGTTGAGGAAGTTCCAGCCGCTGTATGCGAACGAGGCCTGGAGAAAAGCCAGCGCAATCTCTCCAACCGACGGATCCCCATTGAACTCAAAGGCCACACTTGGTCTCAGTGCATCATAGTGACCTACAGGCAAAGAGCACAAGGGTCATGAAGTACCATACCTACCTATAACTAATCAGTCAAGTGCCCTTTTATCATTTATAGAGATTCCACTAAATAACAGAGAATGAAGACAAAATATTGGGATGAATTTTCTATAGTTTTGCTCAGATCTTTCAGTTGATTTGGACATTTACAGAAACTGCTCAATTGAACCAACACAAGAAGGCCAGGGGTGGGCATTGAGATTTGGGTCAAAAATGCATCAGATCAGCATTTATCATAAACTGATAAAAGGTGTTCTTACCAAAGGCCTGAATTTTGTGGTAACTCCAAATCTCTCAGTTACACAAACTTTAGTCTTGCTATCAATCCACCCCTGATTGACCAAAGTGTGACATCACAACTGCTTTACTGCTACCTGTGAGGGCTCTCTGTCTGGTCTGTATATGGTTTATTTTCTGTCTGTATGTATCTTATAACTGTTTAGTGTCATTATATGTCCTCTTTTATATCTATTTGTTCTCTGCCTATGATGTGAAGCAACAACTAGACCAGATGAAATGGATTTTTAAGTAAAATATAGCCATAATCTATCACAAAAGGGAAAAATGTAGGTATTCTATACATAAAATCAATTTCTATCTTTAAAATCATGTCTTTATTGTGTTTAGAATTCGATTCCACCCCCATTCTAGACTGATAAATTAACTCAATTAATCTCAGTTGGACCTTTTTACAACAATCTGGTATTATGGTTAAATGATTTGGAAAAAACATTCACCAAAGTGATTAATACCAGGTGGCTCAAAAGAGAAAAAAATCAGCAAGGAGACATAAATGTTCTAATTTGCTTAAAGTAATTGAAACTAAAAACAACAGTGCCGGTCGTACAGTGGTTGGTTTGTATGTCTCTGTTGTTCTTCCGTCAAAGTAATGAAATCCAAAGAAGGAACATGGACGTACCTCTGCAGATCTGCACCAGTCCCACCACAATGATCAGAAACAGAGCCAGCAGTTTTCCCACCGTGAAAACATCTTGAATCCTGGTGGCCCATCGCACACTGGAGCAATTCACCCACGTCAGGAACACTGGGAACACACAGGAGAAAAGTATTTACAATTTACCCACAGTGAGATTTGGTAAAGAATGATCAGCTGTGTGTGTGTGTGTGTTTGTGTGTGTGTGTAAGTGTGTGTAAGTGTGTGTAAGTGTGTGTGTGTGTGTGTGTGCGTGTGCGTGTGTGTAAGTGTGTGTGTGTAAGTGTGCACTTGTTTTCAACTCCTGGTGGGTTCCATAACCTGAGATTCCACTCACGTCATGGGGACTGGTTTTACGTGGTGGGGCCCGAACACCGGACCCCACTGGTCCAAGCTTAATAATCAATGGGTAATGCTTTTCTAACGGTCCTTATGCAGTCTCTGTAAAAATATGGAAAGGACCCCTGGAGGTTTACTTTCCTGAAAAAAGTGTGTTATGTGTCGGAACCCTGGTGGTGGGTTGCGGGATATCAAGGAGGGGCACACTGGGGCAATTTCAGTCCAGCAGGCTGGAGCCAATCATGGAGCAGCACAACAGAGGAAATCAGGTGTCAGGCTAGAAAAAGGTGCAAGTGTGTGGTTCATTAGGCTGCAAGAAATCATGGAGGAGCACACTGAAGCGCACGCTTACAAACCACTGGTAAGTGCTGACTACAAGTCATGACTTCAAATTGTTATATAGAATGATTACAAATTATTTGTTGTTTGTGCAGCTTAGTCAAGAGTCCCTAATTGATGAAGTCGACTCAGATTCTGACGATTTAACTGTCTAGAAGAAACCTGTAAAAAAGTATGGAAAAAGAAAAATCAAAAACACTTTTCTTCAAGACTCGGAAAGTGACGAACCAAAGGCAAATAAGATTGTTATCATGCAGCTGCAAAAGAAGAAAAATGGGGGGCGAGTTTACAGCAAGAGACACTTCTGCCTCTACCGTTCAATGTCCTGCCACAAAATGTCCCGTCATTTGACTAGAAAACATGGAAATGAAAGTGACGTAGCCAGAGCATTGGCTCTACCTGTGAAATCTAAAGCACGTAAACTTCAGTTTGATTTGATCAGGAATAGTGGAAACCGTGAGCACAATTTTGAGGTTTTAAAGGCCGGCATTGGAACTTTAGTCCCAGCTAAACAGCCAAATTCCCCAGTTAAATCCAGTGAGTTTTTGCACTGTATAGACTGTGGGGCATTGCTTAAGCGAAAGTCGCTGTGGAGGCATGTGGCCAGGTGCCGGCTTTCACAGAAAGATGCCCAGGCTAAACCAGGTAGAAGTAGGGTCCAGTCCCTCTGCTCCCTAGCCCAGCCTGTACCGGAGGGCATCAGCAAAAAGCTGTGGTCTTTAATTTCGGCAATGCATCAGGATGAGGTCACGGGTGTTGTCAAAGCAGAAAAGGGGATTCTGAGACTCGGAGAGCACCTGTACTTAAAACACGGGCATGATAAGACTAAGCATGATTACATTAGGCAGAAAATGAGAGAAGTCGGTAGGTTAATTAACGAAGCAAAAACCGCAGGGAAACTGAAAACAATTAAGGATTTCTTTATTCCTTCCAACTTTAACCATGTGATTGATGCAGTCAGGTCTGTGGCTGGATATGATGAGGAAACAAATCAATACAAGACTCCATCCTTGGCCCTCAAACTCGGCCATAGCCTCAGAAAGCTAGCAGATATTCTTGAATGTGACTCAAAAATGGAGCATTGTGTTGATGAACTATTTATTAAAAACCTCCAACGAAGCCGGCTGCTTTTTAAGAAGAGGTGGGACGTCTGTGTTTCTTCTGCTGCCCTACAGACCCTCCGGCAAGCCAAGTGGAACACTCCGGACCTGCTCCCTCTGACTGAGGACGTTAGAGCCATGCATGCACATATTGAGGTATGTCGACCTGAATATGTGCAAACCCTAATAAGTGAGCCAACGTCTAAGCATTGGTCTAAACTGGCAGTTTTGACTCTTTGTGAGGTCATCATTTTCAATCGAAGAAGGGAAGGTGAGGTTTCAAAGATGCCACTGACAGCCTTTACCTTAAGAAGTAAGACTGGGATCCATTCTGACATTGCTCTGGGACTGTCCCAACTTGAGAAAAAGCTGTGTCAGCATTTTCAACGCATTGAAATTAAAGGGAAAAGAAGTCGGAAAGTGCCGGTTCTTTTGACTCCTGAAATGATTGCTTCGATGGAGGTGCTGGTGGAGAACAGAAGGGCCTGTTCCATCTCTGACCATAACCCATACTTCTTTTCCCGCCCGGGCGCAGACACCCACATCAGGGGATCAGACTCCCTACGCCAGGTAGCCAAAGAATGTGGTGCGGTGCATCCAGAGATGCTATCCTCAACCAAACTTAGAAAGCACATAGCTACTATGTCTACAGTTCTCAATATGAAAGAGAATGAGATGGACATACTTGCCAACTTCCTCGGCCATGACATTCGCATCCACAGGCAATATTACAGACTACCAGAGGGGACACTGGAGCTGGCCAAAATCAGCAAAGTGTTGATGGCCATGGAGCAGGGAAGAGTGACGGAATTCAAAGGAAAGAGCCTCGACCAGATACAAATTGAGCCTGAAGGTAATTCTTGATATTATTAAAATATGTATGATTTTTTTCCCCTAAAGGCCACTTGTATTTTTATTTTCTGTGCGACAGGGAGAGCAGTAGAGATCCTCTCACAAACGGACGGGCTAAAAGAAACTTCAAGCGGAGAACCTTCAACCATTCATCCAGATGCACCCCATGGTAGTGGCAGTGCCCCTTCTGGTAAGTGTACCAGGTGGGGGATTACAGCCAGGCTGCTTGGTCCTAACCCTGGGAGTATATATTGCTAATATATTTTTATTTCTCTCCCTAGAACGTTAGAGAAAGCCATGGTCTGCATCTGAGGTGAAGGCTGTGGAGAAGACCATGACACCTTTCATACAGACTGGAAAGGTCCCTGGGAAGTCTCACTGCCTGGCCTGGCCTGGCCTGGCCTGCATTAATGCCTCACCAGATGACCTTAGACATCGGACATGGAGTGGCATTAAATTCTATGTCAAAAATAGAATCACTGCAATTCGAAAACAAAATCTAAAATAAAAGTCCTTTAAAATAGTTGTTTGGTTTCTATTGACTGTTTTGTATTACTTAAAGTAGTCCCAGTAAAAAAAGATTATGTCTATGGGTCCCATTCTGAACGGCCCTGTCAAAGGGACCCACCAGGTAACAAAAACGTGTGTGTGTGTGTGTGTGTGTGTGTGTGTGTGTGTGTGTGTGTGTGTGTGTGTGTGTAAGTGTGTGTGTAAGTGTGTGTGTAAGTGTGTGTGTAAGTGTGTGTGTAAGTGTGTGTAAGTGTGTGTGTGTGTGGCATGGCTAAGTACTGTGTCATCCATCACTGGGGCAGGCGTCCCTCCCACCACACAATCTGAACAAACTGCTTCCGCTGGCTACGGCCACACACACGCACGCACACACTAAAGCACGCGCACCCCCCCACCCCCCCACACACACACACACACACACATGAGAATAGTTGGCAGGACGTTTTGGTGGCATTGAGCACAGCTTCCTCTCTCCTTTAATGCCCCTGAGTTTTATAGTCAATTACACGGAGACACATTTCCTCAGCCCCAAACAGTAGCTCTACCGGCCTGTGTGCGTCCTGTGTGCGTCCTGTGTGCGTCTTGTGTGCGTCCTAACAGGAAGAAAGTGCCAGCAGGCTTTATGCATGACAGCCCAGGTAAATCTATGTGCCATTGAGCAACACACCAGCACTTGAATACTAATCAAATACTGCCTTTTCTTCCGAGAGTCAAGAGCCAAATGGCAGAGTAGTTTATAATGGCTTTTTAACGTTAGCCACACCTCCGGCTGATACTTAAAGCTAAAGAGTTCCCATAAACCTTCTAGAAGACATGTGTTTTGCTTGAATGTAAACGGTTGTATTAAAGCTGCACTAACTGACTTTATTTTTGTATTCATTACAAAAGTGCTATCCATGTCCATGTAGTGCAGTGGGATAAACGTCCTTTTGAAGAAAAAGTAGCGCAGGTTTGTGCTGGCGTGACATATTTTAGATCGAGTTTTGATGAAACAAGGAAGAGAATGTGTTTTGGGTCGCAGATTGTGACCAATCACAGCAGACCACTAGCCCCCACTTTCGTGAGAAATCTACAGGTCCGTTAGCACAGACGGCTGAGTTAGCACAACAAGAAGAGGAGCTAACCTGAAACTTCGTGTGTCTTCGTCACGGTTACTGCTTACACAGTGAGACATCCATCCAAAAGAAAGTCTCGTTCCTCCGCGCTTCCCGGTTCTATTGTTCTATGGTCACGCCATCCACGTGCAAATCCATGTCCATGTATTATCCATATTGGGAGACGCTAGCTCCGTCCCAACAGTGGGTGTGTGTGGGGGGCGATAGCTTCGTGGGTGCGGGGAGGGGAGCAGAAAGAGAGAGGCCAGTGAGTCCGCTGCTTCAAAATCCCAAAGTCAGTTAGTGCCAGAGGTGTGGACTCGAGTCATGTGACTTGGACTCGAGTCAGACTCGAGTCATGATTTTGATGACTTTAGACTCGACTTGACCAAATATAAAAAGACTTGCAACTCGACTTGGACTTTAACATCAATGACTCTGACTTTCACTTGGACTTGCGCCAATTGACTTGCAAAGACTTGCGTAACCCGGGCCATTTTTACCTTTCTCCGCATCTCTCTTTCTATCTATGCCGTCTCTGAAGAAACAAAGCCTCGCGGTAGTTGTAGCGCTCGCGAGAGAGTTCGAACGCGAGTTTCCCGCAGTTCGCGCAGCAACACTTCCCTAAACAAGCGGACTGCATTCACCGGTGGGTGTGTTGTCTAGGGGAGCTGGAAATGAGCGAGCTGCAGGTATTTATCGCGACCTAACGTCATATTTTGTTCTACAAACCGTAATTGATATGCTTTCACTACAGGCGCCTCATACAATTGAATCGACGCAGTTGTCACACTGTGTGCCGTGTTTTAAAGAGGAACTGGTGAGTCAAACTACGCGCTAGCCTGCGCTGCTCTGTTGGCTCTTTCTTATATTTTTC